CTGCTGAACAGCAAGTACTTAATACTGCTTCAGCCTGCGCTGACTTGGAGGTAAGAAACACCGTGAAACCGGCCCATTGCTACAGCTCCTGTGCCTTTGCTGCTCTTTGGAGCATCTCAGTCTTTCTTGGTAACACATAGCTTCTCAGTTTGTCCCTGGGTTATGTCCCATAAGCAGCTGGAGCTTTAAAAAATGAAGGATGTTACTTACACAGTTATGCCAGAAGCCTGGCATTAAAACTGATAGCATTGGCTTTTAAAAGGAAACAGGCAAGTGTATAAATGTCAAGCATCTGGTAAGAACTAGGGCATAATGTTAGAATGGCTTTTTCCCCCCATTTTACATGCCTTTCTTTGAGACAGATTCAATAGCGGTTGAACTAAAATGAGAAATACAACTTGGATGCAGGAATACGTTAACAAAACTTTGTCCTAGAGCCACTTGACAATAGTACCACTAAGTCCTCTTTTGGAAGGAGGTGATTTGCCATACCTGATGGGTACACTGGCAGCAGCTCAGTGCTGTAACGGAGAATGCAGGAGGAGAACTGGGAATTGATAAATATATTGGAAGATCCACTGTCAAACAGGTCTGTGTAATACAGGTGGAGAAGGTCTCTTGTGGGTTGATCACACATCCTTGTAGTTTGCAAAAGGCTGTTTGGGAGGGCACACTGAGATAACCACGCAGAGGAAGCTGGGTTTTTTATCCAGGGGTGGATCACCTTCCCCACCTTAGTACCACAATCTGTTTTATGTTGGACATTCCCAGAGTGCCTGTGCATTTTGTGGAGGGTGATCATGGAGGAGCAGAACAGCTCGGAGATGGTTGCTCTAGGCCATTATGAGATAGCGCTGGCTTGCTTTGAGAGGAAGTTACAGTTTTGTGTCCCAGGCAGTGGCTGAAATGAAGGCTTTTACCAAAGCAGGGACTGAAGCTTGTGACTCTCAGATGAGGTGTGTTGCTCTCTGGCTTGAGATCTGTGTCCTGGGATGATCTAGTAACGTTGGCATGGGAGCTGCACTGAAGTGACTGGTGGTGTAGATTGTGACGGGGGTGCCTCAAGTTGACTGTCTTGTGTGCTAGCTTACGTGTAGGAGTACTT